ACAAAAATAAAGCTCACCAGCTATTATCATACCTTCTTTCCTCCCTCTTTTCACACCTTCTAGGCCCACAAAGTAATACTGACAACCAGTATGAGTTCACCTTTAAACAGCCCTATAGAGCCTCCAAACATGTGGGTAGTCACCAACCAGTAGTATACAAGGTGACCCAGAATTCCTGCAGGCCAAACTAGGATATTCAGTGGAAGAATCAGAGACTTCAAAGTATCCTGTCTCTGCAAGCAACTCCTAGTCTGCACCCCAGCCTTAAATTTTCTCCAAAATATGTTCTAAAAATCAACATGGATAGTTCTGCTTGGATGATCTGATGACAGCAATAACAACAACATTATTTAAAACCCGATTATCGTTGAACAGAGAAATACAAGGGGGAAAAAAAAATTATCTTTCACCCAAAACATTCCTCCTAGTGTAACTGCTCTACTGACATTGTCACTAAACCCTGTGCTTTCCTCCTTCTGAGTGTTTCCCTAATGTCCCTCTCCTCCAGTAAGCTTTTACAGGCTCTGTAAGTGGGAGCTGTGGGCCTGGTGTAAGGAGCAAAGATTGGTAGGATCCAAGCCAATCAGTAACTGGGTGAGAAAGTAATGGCAGACCCTCCGATCATTCAAGATAGCTAAAAAATTCAGATGTCAAGAGAAATTTTCTGGGTTTAAAGGCAACCTGTGAACCAAAGAAAACACCTGCAGGTCACTCATTCCCAAACCCTGACTGAACCAGTCTTCAGCATTCTGATCCAGCTCCCTCGGTCCATTCCATACGAGGTCAATTTTCCAAATACATAGCTCCTGACCACTGCTAACGCAAAAAGCACAGATACTACTACAAAGTTCCAACCTTTATGGTGTTAAGTCAACGTCCACAGTAATACAACCACTCTACACCAACTTCCCTATACAAATCTTTCACCTCAACCAAAGGAGTCTGCTCCCCCATCCCTCACCCCCACCCGGCTGTGTCCCGACCAAGATGGCCTCCTTCCCACTTTCCCCTACCCCAACAGTGCCCACACTGGCGCAGGAAACAAGCCCATCCATCCAGAGTATACCCTCCAACACCTGCTGAGAGCTAGTTCACTGCCTAAGCCACCCCTCTGCTCAAAGTCAACGATTTGACTTTGGATTTAAGGAAGGATTTAAGGATTTAAATCTCCTAGGAGGCAAATCCTATGGCCTTGTCTTGATTCCCCCACCTTTCCCCCAAAACCAATAAAAATAATGACATTTTAAAAGGGAAAGGAAAGCCCAAGTCGCGCTCAGAGGAGCCGCCTCCCACAGAAGGCTCTGTGAGGTCTCCACATTTTCACACCCAGGAAGGCCCTGGGGAGGTTGGGGAGTGGAGGGGGACCTCTCAACCAGCCCTGGGGGCAGGAGGCGGAGCGCAACTCCAGGTGTGCGCCTTCCTGAGACCCGGAGGTACCAACGAGACCCAGAACCTCGACCTGCTGACTACTGACTCGCGCGCCGCGGGAACCCGCCTCCCGAGGACCCTCTGCGCTACCCAGGCCCGGCCGCGACAAAAGGTCAGAGGGCAAGGCGACATCTCTACGCGCATCCCCCGCGGGCCTCCAGGGAGCACCGCTGTCCCGACCGCTCCCACCCGATGCGGCCACTACCTTGTCCTCGGGCGGTGCATCCAGCCCATGGGCCACCCTTTGCCTCAGCTCAGTCATGCTGGAGATTCCTGGCAGATGTCGCCGCAGGCAGGCAGCTCAGCAGCCGGGGCTGATAGCACTGTGCGGGCACGCGCGAGCTCCCTCGACCGGCCCCGCCCCGCCCGAGCGGCGCGCGGCCCCGCAGCGGCTCGCAGGCCCCTCCGCAGCCCGGCAGGCAGCCCGGGAGCTCGGCCCCGCCCAGCGCCGCCGCCGCCCTTTCACCCCGACAGAGCACGGCTGACAGTCCCTAGCCCTGGCCCGCTAGCTCCCCCTCCCGGGAGGAGGGCTCAGAGCGAACGCGCACGCGCACCGCCGCCATCACGCCCCAGAAGAAGCGCTAAAGGCGCTGGGACACCAGGGAGGCTGGTCGCCGGAGGCGGGGCGGAGCAGAATGGAGAGACGCGCATTGGACAGCAGAGTGAGTAGGCGGGAAAAAGCGTGCGCTCCCTAGCGAGGTTAGCCAATGGGAGCTCCAGCTGTGAATGCAGGAGGTTGGATGGCGCCCTGCGGCGTGACAGTAACCGGTTACTGAAAGGGAGGGGCGCCCCCCGGAGGTTCCGGCCGCGCAGGTCCGGGCTTGCCCTGGTGTTCCTGCTGGCCTCAACCAGGGCTCTTCCCTCACACTCCAAAGTAGATTCTTAGGCACTGCGTGGGGAGACCAGGAGAGCCGACCTGATAAAGACCATTACCACTCATCACGTGATAAGAGAAACCCAAATTTAAGTCCGCGTAGCTTTCCCAAGCGGACGCTGATTGTGTGGTAGGCACTGAGTTTAATAATCGCTTTAGTTCGTCTCATTTAATCCACATATCGCTTGGAAGTGAGTCTTATTTTCATTTTACAGATAAGCTTTACTTCCGTGTTTCAAATTTCTTTTTTTTTTTTTTTTTCAAATTTCTTGTCTCCTGAACCACGGAAAGACATTTTAGGGGACAAGAATGCTACCTAGTTTTGTTTACTGGGATCCCCCTTGTGTCCCTCACACATCCCAAGTGCTTTTTGGAATGAATTTAAAACTTTAAAAGGAAAATTATTTAGCAAACACCTCTTGGCTAGAAAGTGCATAGTAAGAATTTGAACGCACCCGTAATTCAGTGGGTAGGGCGCCGGCCACATACACCAAGGCTGGCGGGTGGGTTCAAACCCGGCCTGGGCCTGCTGAAACAACAATGACAACTGCAACAACAACAACAATGACAATAACCAGGCGTTGTGGCGGGCACCTGTAGTCCCAGCTACTTACTTGGGAGGCTGAGGCAAGAGAATTGCTTAAGCTCAAGAGTTGGAGGTTGCTGTGAGCTGTGATGTCACAGCACTCTACCGAGGGAGACAGCTTGAGACTCTTGTCAAAAAAAAAAACAGCAAAAAACGCAAACAATGTAACGTCGTCCTATGTATCCTTATAATAAATAATACGCCACTAAAAAAAATAAAAAAGGATTAGAACACAGATATATTTGCTACCAAGCTCTACTTGTGTAATGCCAAGCCCTATCTGTCTGAATTCAACATTGCACAAATACTTGTATGTTTTTTTTTCTTCTAAGGGTGGGAGAGACAGATACCACTATCAGTTCATAATTCAGAGAAACTTTGCTTTTTATGTTTCTCTTTTGTTATTTTATTTATAATGCTGATAGTAATTTTAAAGCTCATTTAATCTATTGAGGGCCATGTGACTATCATTTTGACCAACACTAATGGATCTTGATGATCTAAAAATCAGAAACCTGGCTGGGCGCCTGTAGCACAGTGGTTATGGCGCCAGCCGTGTACACCCAAGTTGACAGGTTCAAACCCAGCTGAGGCCAGCTAACCAACAATGACAACAAAAAAATAGCCAGGCGTTAGGATTTCTCCCTCAATTATAGAAAGGGTAATTTATTTATCTAAACAAAAAGAGGCATCTGTCTTCCAGTGTCCTGTCCTAATCTTAGTGAATATGTCCCTATTTCCTTGAATCTTTCCTAACACTGGGTGTTAACATGACTTATTAATATTGTATGTACATTTCTTTGCTTATTAATGTGGCTAACAAAATTTTTCATATATGCGCTAAAATTAGGACCAGACACTGGAAGACAGATGCCTCTGGCTTTTTCTTTAAATTAATCTCCCTTTTCTCCTTATTAGTTTGAGTTTTCTGTCGCTAAAACAGAAGGTATGCTAATCAATACAATGCTTGTAGGCATACTGAAGTTTTTAAAACTTATATAATCATTCCTGTGGTTTATGGGGTTTTTTTTCCTTTTATGGGTAAAAGCACACAAAAATATCTCATTAATATTTACTAAATTATTTTTCCATTTCTTTTTTTTTAGACAGAGTCTCACTGTGTTGCCCTCGGGAGAGTGACATGTGGTCACAGTTCACAGCAACCTCCAACTCTTGGGCTTAAGCAATTCTCTTGCCTCAGCCTCCCAAGTAGCTGGACTACAGGTGCCCGCCACAACACCCAGCTATTTTTTTGTTGTAGTTATCATTGTTGTTTAGCAGGCCCTGGGCCAGGTTCAAACCCACCAGCCCCAGTATATGTGGCTGGCAGGCTAACCGCTGAGCTCTAGGCACTGAGCCAATTTTTCCATTTCTTATTGGTAAACATTTATTTGAATTTGAATTCTTTCATGTGCCTGGAATTTAGTTTTGTAAACAGTTATTAGGAAGAATCTACAACTTTATTCCTTTCTAGTGGTTTAACCAATCATTTATTCAAAATTTACTTAATTCATTCTTTCTTCCACTGATTGAAGACCTTTACTATATGTAAAGTGAACCTCTTTTTGTTTTGTTTTGCTTTTTTTGAGAGAGAGACAGAGTCTCACTCAGTTGCCCATGGTAGAGTGCTGTGGAGTCATCATAGTTCACAGCAACCTTGAACTCCTGGGCTCAAGCAATCTTCCCACCTTGGCCTCTCAGAGGGCTAGGATTACAGGCAGGAGCCACATCTTCCATCCAAAAGTCCGGAAGTGATCCTCTTAAAATGCCAATTGGTTCATGTCAAAGACCTGTTTTTGATAACTTTCCCTTATACTTATAGAAGGCCTACAAAGTCCTGTAAGATCTCACCTCAGCGTCTTTGCAACCTTACGTTGCACCACTCTCTCCATTGTTCATTGTGCTCCAGATACAACAGTCTTAGAGTTCTACAACCAACTTTTGTCTGAACATCTTCTAAGCATTCTGTCCTTTGTAATCATGCTATTCTTTCAAACTAGAACATTCTTTCTTCCCCTCTCCAAAAGCTAGCTTCTCTGATAATATCCTGCCTCCTCAGAGAGGCCATTCTCTGACCACAAATTGTGTTGTAGCCATTTTCATGTCTTCATTTCAACAGATTCAGGTACATGGTGGGTACCACATGGGTAGACGTTATGTTATTTTATTTTTTCTTACAGAGTCTCACTCTTCTGCCCCAGGCTAGAGTGCTGTGACATCATAGCTCACAGCAACCTTAAATTCCTGGGTTCAAGTGATCCTCTTGCCACAGCCTCCCTGAATAGGTGGGACTACAGGTGTGTGAACTCCTGAGCTCAAGCAGTCCACTAGCCTTGGCTTTCCAGAGTGCTAGGATTATAGGCATGAGCCACCCCACCAGGCCGGTAGTTTATGATGTGGCATTAAATCAAAATGTTATTATGTAATCTGAAGGCACTAAAACAGAGTAGCAGAACATATACATATTAGTTATTATTAGGAAAGCAAATGTTCTTCATTGAAGGAATGAACACATTCCACATTTTGTAAAGGAACTGAGAGTTTAAGGAACCCAAGAAAAGAAAATACCCACAAATATGGGCAGGGCAGCACCTATGGCTCAGTGGGTAGGGCACCGCCCCCATATACTGAGGGTGGCGGATTAGAACCCGGCCCCGGCCAAACTGCAACAAAAAAATAGCCAGGCATTCTGGCGGGCGCCTGTAATCTCAGCTACTCAGGAGGCTGAGGCAAGAGAATCGCCTAAGCCCAGGAGTTGGAGGTTGCTATGAGCTGTGACGCCACAGCACTCTACCAAGGGCGATAGAGTGAGACTCTGTCTCTAAAAAAAAAAGAAAGACAAGAAAATACCCACAAATAGATGAAGTTGTATTATGTTTTGATAATGAGGTACATGCAAAAATGTAGTCAATCACACATAAAGCAAGAAAGTTCCAGCATCAAAACTTATGAATTGGTGGCAGAGGCTTGTGAGAAATAACAGAGTAGCACTCTTGGAAATGCTGCATCATCAGTACCCTTTACAATACAGAGTGTGATATTATATGGAAAAACAGCAGTATCAGCAGCTGAGTGGGAAACTGAATGTGGAGAAATAATATGAATGCCTTAACCAATTTCTTTTGTTTATTTTTTATATATGTACAAGAGCAATATATGATAAAATGTTTTTAAAGTTTAAAAGTTCTTTTTTTTTTTGGCCAGAGCTGGGTTTCAACCCACCACCTCCAGCATATGGGGCCAGCGCCCTACCCTTTTGAGCCACAGGCGCTGACCTCAAAGTTCTTTTAATTACAAAATAGAAATTCTAAGCAATAAAGCATTGTATAATAGTTTTCTGTTGTTGCTTTTTGTTTGGAGGAAAGGGGGTTGAGACAGAGTCTTACTCTGTGGCCCTGGGTAAAGTGACATGGCATCACAGCTCTCAGCAACCTCAAACTCCTTGACTCAGCCTCCCAAGTAGCTGGGACTACAGGCACCTGCCACAAAGCCTGGCTAGTTTTTTCTATTTTTAGAAGAGATGAAGTCTCACTCTTGCTCAGGCTGGTCTCTCCTGAGCTGAAACAATCCACCCTCCTCAGCCTCCCCAATTGTAGAACAGTTGTATTTTCATTCTTATATTACATAAAATAATTGTACATATTACATTGAAAGTATCTTAAATTCAACAGAGTACATATGTCTATTTGATTTTTTTATTTGATTTTTTTTTTTTTGAGACAGAGCCTCAAGCTCTCCCCCTGGGTAGAGTGATGTGGCATCACAGCTCACAGCAACCTCCAACTCCCAGGCTCAAGCGAGTCTCCTGCCTCCGCCTCCCAAGTAGCTGGGACCACAGGTGCCCGCCACAACGCTCGGCTATTTTTTGGTTGCAGCCATTATTGTTGTTTTGGCAGGCCCCAGGCTGGATTTGAACCCGCCACCTTAAGTGTATGTGGCTGGCACCTTAGCCACTTGAGCCATAGACGCTAAGCCCAGAGTACATATGTCTATAGAAATACCAAAAGGAGGCTCGGCGCCTATAGCTCAATCGGCTAAGGTGCCAGCCACGTATACCTAAGGTGGCGGGTTCGAATCCCCAGCCCGGACCCGCCAAACAACAATGACGGCTGCAACCAAAAAATAGCCGGGTGCTGTGGCGGGCGCCTGTGGTCCCAGCTACTTGGGAGGCGGAGGCAGGAGACTCGCTTGAGCCCAGGAGTTGGAGGTTGCTGTGAGCTGTAATGTCACGGCACTCTACCCAGGGGGACAGCTTGAGGCTCTGTCTCAAAAAAAAAAAAAGAAATACCAAAAGGAGATGCCCTTTCCTGTGCCCTTTTAAGGTTGATGGAATGCTTTAAGAAGCTAATACAAAAGTGTAAGTCTCCATAAAACCTAGAGAAGAGACTATAAATTTCTGTGAGGATTCACAGCTGAGCTAGAAAAAGAAAAAGAGGGAAAGGAAAGGGAACGGAAGGGAAAGGTAAAAGGAGAAAGGAAAGGGGAGGAAGCACTGTGGTGGGACAGAAACCAGAAGCTCGCTTGAGCCCAGGAGTTGGTTGTCGCAACCCCTAAGGCCCTGGTCTACCAGGCGTGACATGGATTAGAAATACAAGCTTGCAGGAGGTGGGCTAACCTTAAGTGCAGGGTAGCCCAGAGCCCCCTCCACAACGGCTATTTAGTAAAGTTATACACAACAGGTGTGGAGAGTTACAGTAATGACAAAGACAATAGCTATGGAGAGTTAAGATAATTACCTAAGAGGGCTGCATGCATAAGGATTGCCACGTGTTCTTTCCCCACAACCCACAAGAAGAACACTAAGCATCAATGTTTAACACGTGCTTACTAGTGAATGATCTTATTCTGGAACATTGAGTTACTTGGGGGATTGCCCTCAAGTCACAAAATGTCCTTTGCAAGCATGGTGCCCATTCCTCTATAGTTAGAGGCTGCAGCAGCTATGATGATAGCCTGGGTGACAGAGATACTGTCTCAAAAAATAAATAAATAAAGTTAAATGTACCTTGTTGAGTATTTTGGAGAAATCTTTACAAAACGAAGACTTATCACTCTTTTGCCCAACAGTGGTGGGGTCGTCATAACTCACTGTACCCTCCAACTCCTGTCAAGGGATCCTCCCACCTCAGCCTCCCAAAATGCTGGGATTATAGGTGCCAGCCACCACCCCTAACCTGGAATGAATGACTTTTTTAAAAGTGAATTTGTATTTTTTAAAAAACTTAAAATGGCTGGATACAGTAAATGTTTGAGGGATTTTATCAACTTGGTATGCGTGTGGGGATGTTCAGAAATGGTGGATGGAAGTTACCTTTAACCAAACGGTATTACCTCTTTATCGTCTGACGCTTTTAGGAGAGAATCATTTCTTGTATAATAGGAAAATAAGGCCAGGCGCGGCGGTTCACTCCTGTAATCTAGCATTCTGGCAGGCTGAGGCAGGTGAACGCAATTTAGATCAGGAGTCCAGCCTGAGCAAGAGCGAGACACCCCCAGCGCACTCCCGTCTCTACTAAAACTTGATTTTAAAACTTAAAACTCTACAGGCTCCGCGCCTGTAGCTCAGCGGCCAGGGCGCCGGCCACATACCCGGGGGCTGGCGGTTTCCAACGCGGCCTGGGCCTGCCAAACAACAATGACAACTCCAACAAAAATAGCTGGGCATTGTTCCGGGCGCCTGTAGCCCCAGCTACTTGGGAGGCTGAGGAATCACTTAAGCCCCAAAATTGGAGATTGCTGTGAGCTGTAACGCCACAGCACTCTACCGACTCTGTCTCAAAAACAAGGAACAAAAAACTAGCCAGGTGTTGGGCGGAGGCCTGTAGTCCCAGCTACTAGGGAGAACGAAGCAGGAGGAGCCCTGGAGCTCAGGAGTTTAAGGTTGCTGTGAGCTATGATACGGGGCACTCTGCCCAGGGCGACAAAGTGAGCCTGTGTCTCAAACACACACACACAAAGCAAAAATAAAGTGCATATATAGGGTGGACATAAAGTTTAAATTTAAATTGCACGTGATTATGTACACCCCGTACAAAGCCGGTATACTCCTCGGGATATAAGACGGCTTTCCCTCCTGGTAGGTTTAATTCGCATTTCACTTTCCTGATTGGAAACTTTGTATACCCACGTCCCCAACCCCCCGGAGGCTGAAGAGCCACCATAAAGCTGGGGCCCAGCAAAGCCCCACAGCTCAAATGGTAAGCCTAGCAACCTGGGAGGCACAGGTGGTAGATCACCTGAGCTCATGAGTTTCTGACTAGCCTGAGCAAAAGGAGACCCGCCTCCTTTTTCTAAAACTAGAGAAACTAGCGGGCTATCCTGGCTGGTCCCTGTAGTCCCAGCTGCTAGGGAGGCTGAGGCAGGAGAATCGCTTTAAACCAAAAGTTTGAGGTTGCAATGAGTTATGACGCCAGCACTATGCCCACCGCAATAGAGTGTGACTCTGTCTCAAAAAAAAGATAGGACCCGACGTTAAGATGCCTGGGCCTGACTCTGACCTTTACGGAAGCCCCAATTAGCCTTAAACCCAATCTCAAGAATTAGACCGAAAGGCTAGGGGACCAGCGGGAAATCGCTCCACCCCACTGTCTGGTGCTGCGCGCCCCTGCCCCGCCCCTGTGACCTCATCCTCCAATAGACGTTGGGGGGGAACGGTCTTCATGTGGAGCAGGGACACTATTGGTCCTAGCGTCTCTCTGTCCGGGCTATGGGCGGGACAACGTGGTGACGTCGCAACTCTAGGCGCAGGAAGAGAGCGCGCGCTTGCGGACGCGGTGGCATTAAACCGTTGCTGGTGTAGCTGGCTGGTCGTCGTCTTCCTCTCAGGCTGTCGTTTCTGCGCTCACCTCGCCATCAGCCTCGTGAAGCCAAAACCGGCCAGACCTTCCTTTCCACCCACCTGTAGCCGCGTCATTGCGACTCCATCACCATGTTCGAGGCGCGCCTAGTCCAGGGCTCCATCCTGAAAAAGGTGTTGGAGGCATTGAAGGACCTTATCAACGAGGCCTGCTGGGACATCAGCTCGAGCGGCGTGAACCTGCAGAGCATGGATTCGTCCCACGTCTCGTTGGTGCAGCTCACTCTGCGCTCCGAGGGCTTCGACACGTACCGCTGCGACCGAAACCTGGCCATGGGCGTGAACCTCACCAGGTGGGTGCCGGGATTGATGGTGAGCGGGGCTCAGGGCGATGGTGAGCAGGGCCGGGGCCGGGGCCCGGGCCCGGGCCCAGCAGTGTCTCCGGTTCCTGGCGGGAGCGCCTCCTAGCCGGGCCCTCGTTGGCTGGCGCGGGCCATCTGCGCCTTCTCATTGGCCTGCGACGTCGGGGGCGAGGCCCAACACAGCGCGGTTCTGAAAAGCCCGCGCTGGATATACCGCGAACGGGTTTTTTCGCGCCAAAGTCACAAAGCGAGTGGTGGCGGGAAAATGACCGGCTTTTCTGCAGTGCCGGGAAAACTGTTCAGACCTCCTTGTCCATTAAATGCCAATGACCTCGAATGGGTTAGCCATAGTCGTGGTTGACTTTAAACGCTTTATGATGTACCCTGGTGAGAATGTTCAGGGCCCCCTACCTGGGGGCTGTATAGATTGTTTCTGGTTTCATTGCAAAGTCGCGGCGCTCATTCGAACGTCCTGGGCTTGTGGGAAAATTTCTCCAGGCCAGTGGCTTTCAAATTCCTTACTGCCACCTATCAAGTGCATTAAGTTTTAAAAATATGCTTAAACTTTAAAAAGTTTTGGAAGAAATAATTACTCTTGCAATACAATGTGTTTAAATAGGTTTGTTGGGTCATTTTTTTTTTTTTTTTTTTTTTTTTTTGAGACAGAGCCTCAAGCTGTCCCCCTGGGTAGAGTGCCGTGGCATTACAGCTCACAGCAACCTCCAACTCCTGGGCTCAAGCGAGTCTCCTGCCTCCGCCTCCCAAGTAGCTGGGACCACAGGCGCCCGCCACAACGCCCGGCTATTTTTTGGTTGCAGCCGTCATTGTTGTTTGGCGGGTCCGGGCTGGGGATTCGAACCCGCCACCTTAGGTGTACGTGGCTGGCGCCTTAGCCGGTTGAGCCATAGGCGCCGAGCCTGTTGGGTCATTTTTAATGTTTGTCTCCGCCAGAGAATAATTTGTCCACTAAAAAGATTTGCAATTCAGAAAATACTCCTCTTTTATTTATACCCAAAAGTGAGATTTCTGGTGGTGGAGTGTTTTAATATAAATACTGCCAGATTAAATTCCAAAGTTTGATCCGGTATTCACATCCTCCAGCATGATGGATGAAAATGGTAACTCCAAACTACATTAGAAATCTCGATCTTTAGCAGATGATGTTGATTTTAAACCCTGTGTCTTATGTATTCTAGCATGTCCAAAATACTAAAATGTGCTGGCAACGAAGATATCATTACATTAAGGGCTGAAGATAATGCGGATACCTTGGCGCTAGTATTTGAAGCACCAAGTAAGTGATACCCTTTCTCAGAGCTATGCTACAGAAAATTAAAATATAACGTCAGCATTTCCTAAAACTATCAGAATTTTTTTTAAACAGAATTTTAAGATAATATTGGTGAGAGTTAAAATTTACATTATAGATATAAATTTGTACTTTCTCTTCAACATGTGCTTTCTTTTGGTAGATCAGGAGAAAGTTTCAGACTATGAAATGAAATTAATGGATTTGGATGTTGAACAACTTGGAATCCCAGTGAGTATCAGTTTCCCATTGTGGAGAGGGTATTGCATTTGGTCAGGATAGTTACGTGAGCTAATACAACTGAAGCCCTATTTCCTGAAAGAACTTTTTCTAGAAATAAGGGTGACCATAATGTTCATGTGCAATTTAAAATTGTACACTATGTGTGATGTATCTACTAATGCATGTTTCAAAAACATTTTATTATTTGGACTGACATTGTTTTGCTAACCCACACTAATTTAAAATTCGTTACTGGTTAAATTCACTGCTGCCAAGTGCTCATTTGCATTTCTTTGCATCTGTTTTTAATTTTTTTTCCAATCCCCCCCCCCAATGCTTGGTTTATATTAAGAGTAGATTTTAAAGCTATTTCAGAAGACATTAAAGTTGGGTTTATCAATGTTAAAGGAGAGAAAAAAATGGGGTGTTGAAAGTAACGCAGTATCATGTTCTTTTTTCTTTTAGAAAGCAATTAGGTCTGTTAGCACAATCATCATTTCTATGCCATTCCATAATGCTCTCTTGAGTTAGCCCTGGATACTGCATTTATTGCTAAAGGCTTTATATTTGAGACAGTCTTACTCTGTCACCCTGGGTAGAATGCTGTGGCATCATCATAGGTCACAGCAACCTCAAACTCTCAGCCTCAAATGGATCCTCTTGCTTCAGCCTCCTAAGTAGCTGGGACTACAGGTGCCCTCCACAACACCTCACTGATTTTTTTCTTTTTTTAGCAGAGACAGGCTCTTGCCCCCACCCACCCCCCCCCCCCCCGGTTTGTTTTTAGTTTGTTTGTTTTTGAGATAGAATCTCACTCTGTCCCTTGGGTTGAGTGCTATGGTGTCCTAGCTCACAGCAACCTCAAACTTCTGGACTCAAGCAATTCCTTAGTCTCAGCCTCCTGAATAGCTGGGACTATGGGCACCAGCCACAGCACTAGTTTTTCTATTAGTAGAGATGGAATCTAGCTTTTGCTCAGGGAACTCTCTTGAACTCAAATAATCCACCTGCCTTGGCCTCCCAAAGTGCTAGGATTATAGGTATGACCATCACACCTGGTCATTACTGCTAAAGATTTCCTTAGTATAATTATTCAAATGTAATATATATTTTAGATTGTATTTCTTTCTTGAGTAGTTAGGGATCTTAAGAAATTACATGAATGATGCTTAATCTACATTCTGAGTTCTCCTTTAGATGTTCTCTCTTAAGAAAGTGAAGGTGGGCTCGGCGCCTGTAGCTCAACCGGCTGAGGCGCCAGCCACGTACACCTAGGGTGGCGGGTTCGAATCCCCAGCCCGGACCCGCCAAACAACAATGACGGCTGCAACCAAAAAATAGCCGGGCGTTGTGG